TTTTTTTTGCTTTATCTCAGCCCAGACTTTGCTGCTGCAGCCATTTAGCCAATAAGTCAGCAGAAAGATGGCATTTCTCTCTCTCTCCCAGTCATTCACTTCTGTCTCTCTGCCCTTCAAATAAATAAACTTTAAAAATATGTGTGTATCTATTCTAAGTTTTATTAGGACTTTCTTGATCCAAACAATTTCTAAATACTGTTTTCCTAGTGAATACTAGATTAAATGAATGCTGGTCAGAGAATATTCCATCCTCTGTATATTTTAAATTCTTAGAAATCTGTTCTATGCTGCAGCAACAGGTCAATTTTTATAAACTTCACATGTGTATGAAAAGATTATATAGTCACGGTTGTGAAAAAATAAGGGAAGACAGAAAATTAATGATCAGACCAAAAGAAGATGACTTGGTGATTAAACATAACGCGATATTCTGGATCCGGGAACAACATCAACAAAAAAATCAGTAAAAAATCTGACGTCTAGAAGAATTGGAGGGAAGTTTACAGCAAAAATTCTACAGGAGATGCTCTGGAACAGAGTGGGCAGTACAAACAAAACCATAGCAGTCGTTTGGGCTGCTGCCCATAACTCCTGCAGCTCCAGGGCTGGAGGAACTGCCAGCTGCTGAGAGTAAGCAAATGCCTCTGGGCACCCCACTGAGCCACAGTCAAAGGCCTCACAGGAGAAAAACAACAACAAGGATTTCCACAAACTCCTAAAAATAAAACAAGAAATTTAAGAAACAAGGGCAAACTCCCAAAAGGAACAACATGACGGCAACATTAGAATTTGCACATCGGCCTGGTGCGGTGGCGCAGTGGTTAAGGTCCTCGCCTTGCACGCCCGGGATCCCATATGGGCGCCAGTTCTAATCCCAGCAGCCCCGCTTCCCATCCAGCTCCCTGCCTGTGGCCCAGGAAAGCAGTTGAGGACGGCCCAAAGCTGCACCCGTGTGAGAGATCTGGAGGAAGAGGCTCCTGGCTTCAGATCGGCATAGCATCAGCTGTTGCACTCACTTCCTCTCTGTATATCCGCCTTTCCAATAAAAATAATAATAAAAGAAATCTTTGAAAACACACACACACACACACACACACACACTAATTGGAATTGCTACCCACAAGAATCCAACATGGTACATCTTGGATGCATGAACTGCTGGCCATCCTTAGACTTTTCAGTGACATTCTCAGAGAGGCAGACACAGGTGCCCGCTGCTTCAGTAAGCCCTTCTTCCTCTGCCCATAACACCAGTAACACCAGCTGCCTTTGACAGGATGAAAACCCCTGACATGTCTTTGTGATTATCTTCTCTGAAGTAAACTGCACCCATGCTATACCTCCCAATTATTAGTTTATGAATACCTGCTATGTTCCAGGCACTGTTTTAACCCCTGAAATGAAATACCTTAAACCCCCAGAAACATACATTCTAGTTAATGTACAGTCATCTACAATTAATAAGGTAAGAACAAATAATAATTCCACATAATAAGTTCCATAAAGAAAATCAAACTAGCTCATGAGAAAAGGGAAAGCGATTAATTTCAGTAAGTCAGCTAGGCAGAGCCTCTAGAATAAAGCGCAATTTGACCTAACAATGAAGAACCAGAAATATGAAGATGTAGAAGAATAATATGTCAGATATAAGAACGATATTGCACAGTGTAGGGCTGGGATGGTGGCTCAACAGGCTAATCCTCCACTTGCAAGCACCGGGTTGGCTCAACTGGCCACTCGCTCCACTTCTGATCCAGCCTCCTACGAAAGCACCTGGGAAAGCAGTGGAAGACAGCCAAAGGACTTGGGTCCCTGTACCTATGTAGAGACACAGATGAATCCTATCTCTTAGCTTTGGTCTGGCCTGGCCTGGACCTGGGCACTCTGGCCATTTGGGAGTAAACCAGTGGATGGAAGCTCTCTCTGTATCTGTCTCTCTGTGTGTCTCCCTTTAGTTCTTCCATCCTCATATCAGATAATTTTGTTGGTCAAAAACATAAACAAGATTTTTTTAAAAAGAACACAGATTTAGGCAGAATTTTTAGACTTAAATACTATATTCATGAGGCACAAAGGAAAAAAACTGATAAAATGGGTTTCATTAAAATTAAAAATCTTTTTGGGCCCAGCGCCGAGGCCTAGCAGCTAAAGTCCTTGCCTTAAATGCACTGGGATCCTATATGGGTTCCAGTTCTAATCTCGACAGCCCCACTTCCCATTCAACTCCCTGCCTGTGGCCTGGGAAAACAGACGAGGACGGCCCAAAGTCTTGGGACCTTGTACCCGCTGGGAGACCCGGAAGAAGCTCCTGGCTCCTGGCTTTGGATTGGCTCAGCTCCAGCCATTGCAGCCACTTGGGGAGTAAACCATCAGACAGAAGATCTTCCTGTATGTCTCTCCTCCTCTCTGTTTATTTGACTTTCCAATAAAAATAAATAAATCTCTAAAAAAAATTAAAAACCTTTTTAATCTGTAAAAATCTTCCTAAGATGATAAAACCCAAGATAGAAGGACCAGCATTGTGGCACAGCCAATTAAGCCATCACATACAATGCCAACATCCTATACTGGCAAAAGTAAATATGATAGCAGCTACTTTGCTTCCAAACCAGCTCCCCACTAACATGCGTGGGAAAACAGCAAAAGACAGTTCAGGTACTTGGGGCCTGCCACACATGTGTGAGACCCAGATGGAGTTAAATTCTCCTGGCTTTGGCCAGAGCAGCCTGTATGTTGGCAGACATATTTCAGGAGTGGATTAGGAGATAGGAAATATCTTTGCCACTCTTTCAAATGAATACATAGCAAATAAATATGCACCAAATTGAAAAGGAAAGCTATAGAGTGGGAGAAAATATTTGAAAACCTATTCCTGACAAAGAATTGGTATCTAGAAGACATAAAAGCCACCATGAGCCAGTCTAAAATTGGGAGCCTGAAATTCAGCTTTGGCCACCATGGCCACTTGGGGGAGTGAACCAGCAGATAGATCTTTTCTGTCTTTCCTTTTCTCTGTAAATCTGACTTTCTGATAAAAATGAATACAAAAATGGGGGTGGGGAGAGTTTTGGGGACCAGCATTGTGGTATAGTGGGTAAACCTGCCATCCGCAATGTGGTGCCAGTTTGGGTTTCAGCTGTTGCACTGTCAATCTAGCTGACTGCTAGTGGCCTTAGAAAAGCCATGGAAGATGGCCCAAATATTTCGGCCCCTGCTGCCCATGTGGGAAACTCGGAGAAAGTGCCTGGGTCCTTGTTTTGGCCTGGTCAAGTCCTGGTCTTTGTAGCCATCTGGGAAGTGAACCAGCAGATGGAGGAGTTCTCCTTTTCTCTCTCTCTGAAACTCTGACTTTCAAAGAACACATCTTAAACAAATCTTCAACACATCATAAAACAATATGAATTTGAGGACCATTAGCTAGTTTAATTTCTTTTACAGTTCACAACTAACAACATTTTGGAATTATTATTACTTTATAACTTCAAAAATCATGTAAATAGCTACAATAATATTAAAATAATATAGTAGACATAAGACAGATCAATAGATCAGAGAAGACTCTAGCCTACATGAGATTGGCACATGAAAAGGAAAGTGTTGCCTTTCAGACCCACTTTCTACTGAACTCAAGACGCTGACCTCTGCAGCAAAAGGGACTGTTCCTCTCTACTTTTTAGATGGATTTTGTCAATGGGAGAGAATCAGAGAGTGAATTCTGAGTACTTCCTCTTCACTCTGACTCTGTTGCGCCACAACTTGGCAGTGACTACATTCTTCTACTAAAGACCACAGCTCTTGGCCCTAACTCCATGCTTTGGTAATTCACTGGTCTTGACAAAATCTCCTGACTACTACCTCTCCTTATAAATGTGGAGTTATACAAAATATCTTCTCAAAAAATAAACAGAAATGATGATGTGGTTGTCCACAAACACGTCTTGTGTTTGTACTAACTCTTGGGACACAACCTCTAAACACTTGGCATTTCCCTAGGACTAGGACTTGGTAATTCAAAATGGGCCCTGTGGACCACATCAATAGTTCACAGTAACAAGGTGAGCCCAGCCTCTTGAGAGGGGAACGTAGAGACTGATTTCAACCACATGGACAAATAGTCAATTACCCAGTCATACCTACAAAGAAAAAAAGTCTGAACACTAACGGTTGGGTGAGCTTTCAAGACTGACAACCTTCCAGGCCTAACTGTCATATCAATTCCAACAAGTCCCAAGGACAAAGACACCTCACACTGGGAACCATCCTAAGCAGTAACCCCGTGCCATCTCTTTCCTTAGCTATTTTAACCACACTTTTTCCAGAGTAATAAACTATAATGGTGACAATACTAGATTCCAGTAGATTCTGTGACTCTTTGAAGCAAATAACTAAATTTGAGGGTAGTTTTGGGAAACCTCTGACCTAGAAGTTTGTGTAAGAAATGAGGATGGTCTTTGCTGGATTTCAACTGACTCTCAAGTTGGGGTCAGAAGTATTTGGCAAACTTGGCCAGTCTGGATAACAGTGCCCTTAAGCTAATAATTTGGATAATTCTGGATAAAAGTACACACATATAAATGTCAAGGTACATACATGAAGGGTCTGGTGCGATGGCATAACAAGCTAATCCTCCTCTTGTGGTGCTGGCATCCTATGCTGACACTGGTTTGAGTCCCAGATGCTCCAAATGAGATCAAGCTCCTTGCTAATAGCCTGAGCGGGCAGCAGAAAATGGCCCAACTCCTGGAGCCTCTGCATCTGCATGGGAGACCTGGAAGAAACCCCTGGCTCCCAATTTCAGACTGGCCCAGTTCCAGTTATTGTGGCCATTTGGGGAGTGAACTAGTAGATGTCTCTCTTTCTCTGTCTCTGTCTCTCCCTCCGTCTCTGACTCTTCCAAGTAAAAATAAATTTAAAATAGATAAATTTAGACTAATCTGACAAATTAATATAATTTTTTTCTACATTTGAATTTATATAATTTAAATTCTTCTACTTACCTGAGGATCTACTAACCACCCATGGTACAAAGGAATATCAAGAAGATCAAATACTATGCACTCCGGTGTATATTCAAATACTCGAACACCAGTAAATCGTACATTTACATCTAGGCCTGTCTGTAGTTTGTGCAAAATTGCCATAGCATCACTCATATTCTGAAAATACAAAGAGGAAAGGTATAAGTCAGGATAATCAAAACACAAACAAAATGACATTTAAGTACAAACACACTGATTTCTAATACTCTATTTTATCCAATTTATAAATAAGGCTCTAACAGATTCATTATTAAGTATTAACCTATTATTAAATAAATATTACATATCAGGCATTACTATGCATTCCAAAAATATAAAGGAACCTCAGAAAGTTCAAGAATATGGGATTTTTTAAAGATTTATTTATTTATTTGAAAGGCAGAATTACAGAAAGAGGGAGACACAAAGAGATCCTACATTCTCTGGCTTATTTCCCAAACAGCTACAATGGCGGGAGTCAGGTCAGGCCAAGTCCAGAAGGCAGGAACTCCACTTGGATCTCCCACATGAGTGGCAGAAACTTAAACACATGGGCCATGTTCACCTTCCCAGGAGCATTAGTAGGGAGCTAGGTCAGAGGTATAGCAGCTAGGACTTGAACCAGTGTTCATGAGATTCTGGTGTTGCAAGCAGTGAATTACCCCCTGTGCCACAACTCTGGCCCTTTAAAATTTTTTTTATTTATTTTTAGACAAAGGGAGGAAGAAGAGGAAGGAGAAAGAGAAAGACAAAAACAAAAAGAGCTCCAAATGGCTTATACTCCAAATGCCTACAATGACTAGGAAGGCCAAAGTAGGGAGCTGGGTACTAGGACCTGAATCCAGGTCTCCCACATGGGTGGCAGGACCCCAATTACTTTACTGCTGTCTGCCAGAGTATGAATTAGCAGGCAGCTGGAGCACAAAATCAAATTCAGGCATTTAGATATGGGACACATACATCATAACTGCTTAGCCAAATGCCAACTCTATGCATTTATCTTTTAATTCCATTTTCCACAAATTCTTGAAGCTCCTTGTACAACAGTGAATAAAACAAATGCTTTGTTCCCACACAATATTCTACTAAGAGATAAAAATGTAAAAACTATATATATATATATTGTTGGTTAAAAAAAATTAAACAAGATAAAGTTGTACAGAGGGGAAGTGATAAAGAACTTACTTTAGAATGGTAAATCTGTTACACAACTAAGAGAAAAACAGTCATTACCTGGCTGGTACTCTGGGGCTGGTTCATGCTAACTCTGTGTTAACTGCACCAGTGTGCCAGCCAGTTCCATATTCTTCAACATTAAATTGGCAAGGTGGAGAAGGGCAAGCAGACTGTCACCACATGTTTGCTTGGGCCCTTGAGCTGGCATGGGGACCACTGAGGGCTTTGATGTGGCCAAAGCTGCAGCTATAGGGCTCCCTGGGACAGGCCAGTGCAGATGAAAGCCAGGACTGGGGACAGGATAGACAGTGGGACATGGAGAATCAGTGCTGTAGGTTTCCTTGAGTCAGGCTCTGCACCTGCCAGAATGTCGGAGAACCAGGGCTTGGGGCTGCCTAGGTAGATGGGCATAGAAGGTCTCTGTAGGCCGAGCCCAAGTACCCAATGGTGCACATGAGAGTCAGGGCTGCGGGCAGATCTGGGCAGGGGACCTCCTTGGGTTAAGCTGCAGCACCCGATGTTGGAGGAGGTTCACTGATAGCTTCTGGACTCAGCAGGCTGCCCATCTTTTCAGCTCATGTTATCCTCAAACAGGTCAGCATTTCTGATCTCAGGGACCAGAAACCGTGGATATGTGGTCTGGCCTCGGCACACACGTTGTACAATTAGACCACCTGTGTTGGTAACTTGTGTGCAACCAGTGACCATATGGAATCCTGGCATGTTCAAAGCAAGGACTTTATGCTATCGTGCCAGGCTTGGAAGATCTTTTCTTTTTGTCTTATCTCTGTAAATCTGCCTTTCCAATGAAAATAAATGAATCTTTTAAAAAATTCTTAGAAATCTTCCCAAAGATGCTAACATAAATAGTTGTTATATAAAATATATTTTTAACTATTTTAACATATATTTTAAAATTTGTTTTAAATACACATTTTAAATTAGGTTATGAATATACACACAACCCCCACGTTTTTCTGTTAGATTATAACATGAAGTAAAACTAGAAATAATACAAGTATATACTACATCACAACTTTTAGTAAAGAAGTTTTAATCTTAGCAAAATTATAGATCTGCACTGAATCTAAAATTTAGCCTCAAACAGGTTCTGTTCATGTAAAATTATACATCTATCACACACATAAAACCTTACATTGACACCAGCTTACGCTCCATTACATTAGCTTGGTATACACTAGACTCAAAATTAAAGGGAATATAAATAATTTTACCTTATAGTTTTAGTGCTTATTTTAAAAGCAGTATGCGTTTATTGCCTGCCAAGTTATCAGAAATGCAAGCAGTTGTTAGATATCATTTGTTATAACCATAAAACAAAACATTACTTTCAATCATTTAGAGTCAGATCAAGTGCTACCTGGTGCTATGACACAGGGAGTTAAGCAACTGTAGCACCGGCATTCCCTAATGGTACACATTCATGTCCTGACTGCTTCTTGCCAGTAAAGAACATTGGAAGAAAATGAAGTTTTGCTTACTTCCCCCTAGCTCCAATACTTTTGATCCTAAAAGCCTTTCCTATAATTCAAAACAGGATCTCTAAAGAACATGCCAAAAAAATGTGGGCATACTGATACAAGAAAATGAAATAATTTGTCCTAATGGCATATACTGGAAATCCTTTTGTCAATTTTCCTCTGAATACAACTTAATTATAAAAGATAAATAAAATGAGAAAGGATAAAACAATGATAATGCAATTTAATATGAATTTTTTTTCAAGAAAAATACTAGGCTATCATTTTATAAAGATGTCTATAGGCCATGCTACTTAGCATATATATTCATTAAAAAAATTAAGGATCTGGGCCTGGTGTAGTGGCTTAGTGGCTAGGTCCTCACATTGCCGGCTCAGGGATCCCATAGACGCTGATTTGTATTCCGGTGCCTCACCTTTCCACCCAGCTCCCTGCTTGTGGCCTTGGAAAGCAGTCAAGGACAGCCCAAACAAAGCCTTGGGCGCCTGCACACACATGGGAGACTCAGAAGAAGCTCCTGGTTTTGGATCAATTCAGCTCAGCTCTGTTACGGTCACTTGGGGAGTGATGCAGCAGACAGAAGATGTTTGTCTTGTCTCTCCCTGTCTTGGTAATCTGCCTTTGCAATAAGAATAGCTGAACCTTTAGGAAAAACAAGGATCTGAAAAGTGTGTCGTATTTGCCAAATCCAGCTTTGTACTAGAGATGGTTTTTATATCTTTAAAGAGTTGAAAAAAGAAAACAAAGAATATGAAATAGACACTGACCATATATAGCCTAAAAAAAGCTAATATACCTACGGGTCTCTTACAGAAAAGTTGCCCAACCAGTAATTAAGATCACAGTATATATATCCATTACACAAAATTATATATCTTAATATGAGCAAAAATTATATATATTACCTGTTCATAATTTAAACGTTGAATTTCTGAAATTTCTTTTGGCTTTGCATCAAGCATGTAATCTCCTGTAAAAAAAATAAATTGTAAAATGGCTTTTTGAAGTATTACTTTTTCTAATTACAACAGTAATAGATTTTAATGAACAATTACTAAACACTGCAACAATAGGCGACATTTAAAATGGATTCCTTCAACTATACCCCAAATCAATACTATCTTTTAACATGGTTTTTCAATGAATATGCTTTAAAGTGCCTGTAAAATTCCTTTTATTTTCCATTATATAATCTATTTGAGTACCCTCTATAATACTGTATACAGAATTTCCCAACGTTGACTCACATTTTATAACTAGTAACAATATGTTTTCCCATTACCTCATCAACAATGAATATTACAACTTCTAATTGCAGTTTCTAATGCTGAAGGTAAACAAAATTGTTTTGTATTTATGAAAGTGATTATTTGGGATCATCTTTGTAACATGGGTAAACCCTTTTCAAATATATGGTACCTTAAAAAACAGAGTGCATTTTAATATAAGCAAGACTTTCAATATGTACACATTGCCTTCTAAATCAAATATTAACTGTAAATATATATTCGTTGAATTACTTGCTTATATGGTGGTATCTTATCTTTTTTATAAAATTACACTACAAAAGTTCTTTCCAAATCAGAACAATTAACACAGTTTCAGTACAGCTGAGTAAGGTGCCACCTGCAATGCCAGCATTTCACATGAGGGCCAGTCCAAGTCCCAGCTGCTCTACTTCCAACTCAGATTGATTTTAATGTGCCTGGGAAAGCAGAACAAAATTACCCAATGCCTGGGCCTCTATCACCAACATGGGAAATCCACAAGCAGCTCTGGCTCTTTAGCGGGCCCAGCCCTAGCCACTGTAGTCATCTGAAGAACGACATACCATTTGGAAGATAACTTCTGTCTCTACTTCTCCCTGCTCCACTCCACCTCCATTCCTGTCCTCTCTGTAACTCTGCCTTGCAAATACTTTTTAAAATGAAATCTTTTTAAAAAAGAGTTATGGAACCAGTGCTGTGGTTTAATAGGCCTTGCAATGCCAGCATCCCAAAAGGCCACTGGTTCAAGTACTGGGTTGCTCCATTTCCAATCTAACTCCCTGTTAATATGCCTGGGAAAATAGTACAGGATGGTTCAAATGCTTGGGACCTTGCACCCATGTGGGAGTCCTAGAAGAAGTGGGGCGCTAGGACATGAACTGCCACCCATATGGGATCCTGGAATGTGCAAGGCGAGGACTTTAGCCACCAGGCTACTGTGCCGGGTCTGCTCATATAATCTTTTAAAACAAATATTTAAAGGGTAAAGTGACAAAGAAAAAGAGAAGGAGCTCTTCCATCCACTGGTTCCTTCCCAAATGGCTGCAAATGCAGGGGATGGGAAGGCCAAAGCCAGGAGCCCAAAAATCCATCTGTGTCTCCCATATGGGTGGCAGGGACCCAGATACTCGGGTCATTTTCTGCTTTCTCAAGCACATTATCAGGGAGCTAAAATCAAAGCTAAGTGCCTGGGAGACTGACATGGGATACCTAACTACTACTACCACAATGTTGGGCATGACTTTCTAATTCAAAAAAGACAAAAGACTCCATGAAGTATTCTATTAGAAACCCAAATCTGATAGAAAAAATTCCTACGAGGGCTGGTGCTGTGGCAAAGCAAGATAAATCACTGCTTGCAACACTGGTATCCATATCCATGTGACAACTGGAGTCCTGGTTCTTCCACCTCTGGCCCTGTTTCCTGCTGATAGTACTGCAAAGGCAGTGGATGATGGCCCAAGTGCATGGGCTGCTGCTCCTATGGGGAAGAGAAGAATGGGCACCTGGATCCTGAAGCCTGCCTCCTCACTGCAACACAGGCTGCTGTGGAGATCTGAAGAGTAAACCAGCAAATGGAAAAAATCTCTATTACTCTGACTTTGAAATAATACACAGGCCAGTGCTGCAATGAAGCAAGTAAAGGCACTATTTGCACTGGCCAGCATTCCATTCTGGGCACAGGTTCACAAACTGGTTACTCCACTTCCTACCCAGCTCCCTGGTAACATGCCTAGGAAAGTAGGGGAAGATGGCTGAAATGCTTGAAGCCCTGTATCTACATGGGAAACCCAAAGTAACTTCTCATTCCTGGCTCCTGACCAGCCCAGCTCTGACCATTTTGGCCAGTTGGGGAGCAAACCAGCAACTGGAAGATATCTCTCTATTTTTCTCTGTAACTGTCATTCTAATAAACAAATACATATTCACAAAAAGAAAAATAATAATAAAGAAAATGTTAAGTGATATTCTGCTTGTGTTATCAATCTTTGTAATTAGATGGTAAGACTGTTTCCATTAAAAAAGTAGCTTTCTGGGCCCAGTGCAATAACTTAGTGGCTAAAGTCTTCACCTTGCATGTGCCGGGATCCCATATGGGTGATGGTTCTAATCCCAGCAGCACTGCTTCCCATCTAGCTCCTTGTTTGTGGCCTGGGATAGCAATTAAGGATGGCCCAAGGCCTTAGGATCCTGTACCCATGTGAGAGATCCAGAAGAGGCTCCAGGATTCAGGCTCTGTATTGGCACAGCTCCAGCCATTGTGGCCGCTTAGGAGTGAATCATTGGACAGAAGATCTTACTGACTGTCTCTCCTCTTCTCTGTATATCTGACATTCCAATAAAAATAAATAAATCTTGAGAAAAAAAAAAAGCATCTTTCTGGGGCTGGTGCCATGCATGGTAGGTTAAGCTTCCACCTGCTGCACTGACATCCAATATGAGCATCAGTTCAAGTACCAGCTGCTCTACTTCCGATTCAGCTCCCTGCATATGGCCTGGAAAAGTATCCAAGGATGGCACAAACCCTTGGACTTCTACATCCATATGAGAGACCCAGAAGAAGTTCCTGCCTGGTTCCTGTCTTCAACAGCTCAGCGCTGGCCATTGTAGTCATTTAGGGAGTGAACTGGCAGGTGGAAAATCCTTCTTTCTCTCTCTCTGTAACTGCCTTTCAGAAACAAGAAAACAAGCAAAACAAGCAAACACAAAAACACCTTTTAAAAAGCAACTTTCTTTTAAAAATCAATTTCAAAGTTACAGACAGACACGGAGACAAAGAAATCCTCTATGCATTGGTTCACTCCCCAGATGGCTGCAACAGCCATGGCTGAGCTGACCCAAGCCAAAGTTGGAGGCCAACAGCTTCATTCAGATCTACCACAGGGGTAGCAGTAGTCCAAATACTCCACTGATTTTTTCCAAGCCAGTTGCAGGAAGCTGGATTGGAAGCAGAAGCAGAGCAGTTGCAATTCAAACAAATGGCCATATGGAAATCCACCATTGCAGGTGGCAATTTTATCCATTAGATCACTAATCTGGACATTTAGAGTCTGTGTGTTTAGCAATGGTTTAAAATAAATATTAGGGAGGCCAGGGCCAAGCCATGGCAGCTAAAGCACCTTTTGTGCTGACATCCCCTATGAGCACTGGTTTGACTCGAGCTCTCTGAGAATGCATCTTGGAAGCAGTGGAGGATGGTCCAAGTGTTTGCGGACCTGCACCCATGTGGGAGACCTGGAAGAGACTCCTGGTGCCTGGCTTTTAATAGGTTCAGTTCCAGCTATTGCAGCCATTTGGGGCGTCAACCCACAGATAAAAGACCTTTCTTATCTTCTCTGTAACTCTGCCTTTTAAATAGTAATAAATACAACATTTTAAAAAATATTTAGACATGAATGATGCTCTTATCAATAATTTCACTGGACTAAAAGCACATTAAAAACAAAGATAATTGTATAGTACATTGTTAAATGTACTAAAAGACATTTAGTACATTCTGAAAACATTGCTATACTCTGTAGAGCTTAGAAATACTTAGATATTGATATACTACATAGAGCTTAGAAATAGGAGGTAGATCTAAATTGGATACAGAAAAAATAGGCAAAACATAAAAAACTAGTTGGAAGAAAAGCATTCTTTGAAGTGAAAAGAGATAGAGAAGCAAATATAAGATCATAGTGGAATAGCAAGCTAAACCTCTCCTTGCCAGTGTTGGCCTCCCACATGAGTTCCAGTTTATGTCTCAGCTATTCCACTTCTGGTCTAGCTCTCTGCTTACAGCTTGGTAAAGCAGCAGTGGATGGCCTAGGATCTCAAGCTTGGAGCAGATCAGCTCACCTCGAGCCATTACAGCCATCTGAGGAGTGAACCAGCAGATAGAAGACCTCTCTGTCTCTCATTCTTTCTCTGAAAAACCTATTATAAACAAATCTTAAAAATAAATTATGTCATAATTCATAGGGACAGATTATAAGAAAATGTATACATAAGGTTTGGGCCTGGCCGGTTCGTATCCCAGCGACCCTGCTTCCCATCCAGCTCCCTGCTTGTGGCTAGGAATGCAGTCAAGGACAGCCCAAAGCTTTGGGACCCTGCAGCCACATGGGAAACTCGGAATAGCTCCTGACTCCTGGAGTCAGCTTCAACTGTGGTGGCTGCTTGGAGAGTGAACCCATTGGACGGAAGATCTTCTTCTCTGCCTCTTCTCCTCTCTATATATCTGACTTTAGAATAAAAATAAGTAAATCTTAAAAAAAAAAAAAAGATTTGGGCCTGGTGTGATGGCTCAGTGGCTAAATCGTCTACTTGCATGTGCCAGGATCCCATATGGACACTGGTTCATGTCCAAACTGCTCCACTTCCCATCCAGCTTCCTGCTTATGGCCTGGGAAGACAGCAGTAGCAGAGGGCCCAAAGCCTTAGGACCCTGCACTAGCACGAAAGACGCAGAAGCTCCTGCTTTAGATTGGCTCAGCCAGCCATTGTGGCCACTTGGGGAGTAAACCAGTGAATGTACCATCTTTCTATCTCCTCTCTGTAATCTGCCTTTCCAATTAAAAGTATAAATAAATAAATCTTTAAAAATTTATACATAACATTTATATTACAAAGTGCTGGAAACTATGGCCAAATTAAACAAGTTTACTGGATTCTGGAAAACCCTCAATGTTGTGCTGGTGAACATACAGATCAGTAGAGG